GTGGAAAACGTAAATATTAATCAGTAATGAAGTATTAAATGTCTTGTATTGTTGCAATCCCAAATATGGCCAGTATATAATGAAAAAAATATCGAACATTGCAGAAGTTTGAACCAGAGAATGGTCTGGCGGTTAAGTCCTTCAAATAACTTGAATATTATTCGGCTTTATCGTTTTTATTTTAATACTGTTGGATAGCAAACCTGTTTATAGCGTTAGCTCTGTTAGCATTAGTGGTGCTTTCCGCTGTCCGACAATACAATGCTAACATGCTAATTTTTAGCAAAAATAAGGTTATCCATGTTAGCATGCTAAGATTAGCTAATAAATATTGCATGTAAAGTCATTAGTTCTTTAGGACTTTGCTCATCATCCAAATAAATTGTCTCATTCAAATGTAGACTTGATGATTAGAGCTGCAAAAAGTATTTGGCTCATGGATATGTCTATAGAAAAATAACCAGTAAATTATTTTGAAAAACGGTTTCCTGCAGGAAAGTCTTTAATTGAGTTTTCAGCCTCTCTCTGGGTTGTGGACTAAGAACAAAAGACATTTAGAGACAACATCTTGGAAAAAACGTTTTTCCGAAAACTAATCTTTAGATTAATCAGTTTATATCAGAATAAAAGTCAGAGGAAATATCATCACAATGCATCCCGTAGTTGGTTCGTTAGTGCACAGTACACAGCAGTATTTTGATGTTGTTACTGTATGTGCAGTATATTTACAGTGTGAACCAAAAGCATTACTAAAAAATGTGTTATTTAATATGTACCTTTTGTCCTACAATATGGAAGAGTTAACGCATTTAATTATTAGATCACGTAATTTATCCTTGCTTTCTTTTTTATTGTTTTTCCTATGTAATCTTATCCCTTTGTTCCCTGTTTTTTAATGTTTGTATTTCTTCTCCCCAGTGTAAAGGAGGGGGCGTGTCTAGGTGGTGTTACTCATTACTTAAAGAGCAACTTCCAGGTTAAAGACGCCTGTGAATAAATGTGTAGGAAAATGATGAATACACTAGATTTAAAAAAAAAAAAACAGAAATATACACTACAGTGACATCTGGCGTCGTTTTTGTAAGACATTTTCACTTCCGCATAAAAAAGCCTCGGCACGTGACCTCCCGCGTGTGACGTAACATGGGGGAAACAAGGGGGAGAGCGGCCGGTGTAACGTATTAATAAACATGGATCCCAATGCTAGTTTCGACACAGAAGAGTTGAATATGAATATGGTCAGAATGCAGTATGAGCGGACGACAACCTTAAATTATGAGCCTGTGTAGGCGTCCAAGAGACCAAAGAGGAGCCAGGCCAAGGATTGGGGGGGGCATTAAAGAAATAACGGGCCATCGGAGGAGAA